GAAGCCTTATTGGAACTGTTGGATAAATTTTAATGTAGACTATATATTAGATAGTATTTTGTATCACTGCTAAATTTCTTGGGTGTGGTATGCTGTTGTTGGAAAAATCAAGTGTTCTTATATTCTTAGAACTTTTTTAGATTTTAAATGATTCAAAAAAATTTTTTTAAATGAGAGAAAAAGTGTGAGATTGAATCAACAAAATGTCTGAATCAGGTAAAAGCCCTTCAATCTAAAGATGAGGGAAACTAAGGCTTTAATGTCTAAGGCAAGATTTGAACCCAAGTATGAGTTCAAGTTTCCATTTCATATAAAAACACTTGTTTTAAAAAATAAGGTGAAATCAAAATTGTCTAATTTGGTCTTAAATAGAATAAAAGTATTACTTTAAGAGTTGCAAGCATTTAAATGTGTTTTTCTTTTTCCCCATAGGTATGTAGGATTTTGTATGAAATTTGTAAATATGCTGCTATCTCATGGAGTCACACCTATTCTTGTATTTGATGGGTGTACTTTACCTTCTAAAAAGGAGGTAGAGAGGTCTAGAAGAGAGTAAGTTGATTCTATACTTAATATCTAACTTAACTGTGCTAAAGTTAGATGTTGTAGGCTGTATACCATATTTTTTTAAATCTTAACTTGTTGAAGCTTGTTTTATAATCTAGCACATGAACAGATTTCCTAAAATGTTCTGTATTAGATCATTCTTAGTTTTTAAATAAATATCTCAGTTACTGTGTTTTCATTTGATATAAAACATCACTGTGAAAAGGTTTGACAGTAATTGTATGTGTGTTCATGCACATGTGTCTATATTTTAAATCACTTGTTTTTGCTTAGAAGCCCAAAGGATCTGGGTTAATATTCTTGAGCATCTGGTTATGCATTTTCAAATGAGTCAAACTTTTTTAATTGTAGCAAAATTTCCTGAATTATACTCTTATTACAGTTTTTCAAGGAAGCCTCTTAAATATATATATTTTTTAATATTAAAAATATATTATTACCTTGCAGAAGACGACAAGCAAATCTTCTTAAGGGAAAGCAGCTTCTCCGCGAAGGGAAAGTCTCAGAAGCCCGAGAATGTTTTACCCGTTGCATCAATATTACACATGCCATGGCCCACAAAGTAATTAAGGTAAGTGAATAGAAAAATAAAGCTAAAAGAACAAATGGCTAAAGCTCATCTAAGCTACTTCTAAGTTGCTCATTAATGGAACGGCAAGAAAATCACAGGAGAAAAATTACTCTAGTCGTAGCATCAAGTAAAGAGGTTAGAGGAAAAGATGAATGGTACTATCAGAGGAGAGGAGTCCAGCTGTTTCTAAGAGAAATCCCAAGGAATGAGTAAGGCCTTTCCTCTTGAGGTAAGTGACTTGGGTATATAAACATCTTGGTGTGTTGTTTGGTAGGAATGGAAGGGACGAATTCCTGCAGGTTTTCATTTTCACCCGACTCATAAAATCTTCAGCACTTATTATAACTTGCACTTTTTTTAAATTAACACATCATAATTGTACAAATTTATAGGATTCACTATGATATTTTCATGCATGCATACAGCATGCATTGATCATGTCTAGGCCCACTCCCCTTTCCACACCCAGCTCTGTTCCTATTAATCACTGTTCTACTTTCAATGACTACACTCAAACCTGTCTCAGTGCCTCAGGCACTATGCCAACTCCTATTATCCTTAATCTGCTTAGAAGCTTATTTCCTTATTTCCTGAATGTTTGTGTCAGCTGCTCAGTCCCAGCCCTCAGGCCCCCAAACCTTTCCCTTTTTTTTTTTTTTTCCCCTGTACTGGGGATTTTTCTTTAGAGACAGTCTCCCTGAGTCCTTAGGACCTCTCTAAGTTACTGCTGTTCAAACTACTTGGTAAAGGTGGTATCAACATTTTTTAGGATATAGGTCTACTATCCAGTTTCTGAAGTAAAATAAACACTAAAGTCTTGTGGCCATTTATTTTGTCTTCATGGGTTCAAGTGGAAAGTAAAGATGGGCTGCAGGAAAAGATGTGAAGCACATGCTAGTTATAAGTTATTCATGAATGGGATGGCAAAGAAGAGAGGACTTCTTTTGTGCTTAGTAGAGAAGAAGCCTGATTGAATACACATAATAGTACCAAAGGGTAAGAGCAGGACACCTAATAGACAAGAAAAAGAAAGGAGGAAAACAACAAAACAATTTGCAGAGTTGCTGAAATTAATAGTACCAGGATGTTGATGCATCTTTCTACCTTTCTTAACTTCCCAAAGCTTCTCCTTGGGCCTTGGGAGCTGTGCCTTTGATTTGGAACAAGAAAGGTTGTGTTCCAGCTGTTTGTGATGGGGGACTGTTTTTCCTGGCAATGTCATTTAAAAAGTAGTCTCCCCCTCATTAATTTGTTTTAAATATAATGATTAATGTTTAGAGTTTTATCAGTATATTATTAGGCAAACTTTTGTAGCCTGACAGAGCAACCTATCACTTTTGGGGAAAAAATTTGCAAATCCCCAAACATAAATACTTTTAGAACATACATATAACATTTTTAAGATGAAAGCTTTTTATAATTTGAAATAATTTTGTAGTTTGCAGGCACTCCCCTC